GCTTTGGTATGCAGCGGACCCAGGGGGGGGGGTGGGACAATGGCAGCCAATAACAACACCCCAAGCACCGAAGGGTGGGAAGGGTTTGGGGATTGAAATGTAATTGTAATGTAAAGTGTCAAAACATTGTCTTCACTTCAGTCGATGTTCATTATCTGACCGTGATAGGTGTTAATTCATTTGTTTTCGCCCAAGTGTTTCTTAGTTGTCTTGTTGTTATATATATTTTAGTGATAGTTAAATATTTTTAATATATAAGTTACAGTTTTAACAAGTGAACAGTTTTAATGAAGTACAGTAGATTTATAACATTTGTTTGCAATGACGGGCTCTGAGTGTGATTTCAAGTGGCCAAACTTAAGTGACATATTTCAACAAGTTGAAAAAAATGAATAGGGTGGACTCGCGTAAAAATGTTTATTGTGTTTACCCAAAACAAAAATAATTAAAGTTAAACACAATACGGCTGTACAATTAATTTTAGTGTAACATTCAGCTAATTGAAAATCAACAAACTGTGTTTTGACCTAACCGGGAACTTCAGTTGTAACTTATGTTTGTGTATCGAAAGTAATGTTTATGTCAGGAAAGGTGAGATGATCACTATTTGTTTTTTAACTATTGAAAACAGAGTGATGACAAGTTTTTGTATCACCTTTGTTGGGGAAATAAATATGTGCACTCGAGTTTGAGCCTAAATATCTCTGAGATGGATTATCCGATTTTGTTGAAACAAACATTAAATATAAGCTGTTTTAAATATATTTTACGTGGTGTCGATTAAAAATTTTCCATTAACCCGAAAAATTTATATAGTTGAAAGATCCTAAAAAGTACTGGTTTTTAAGAAACTCTGCACTAACACTGAAGTTTAAAATTTATTTGTAAACAAACCACTGAGCCAATCTTTCTGAAATTTTTATGGCTTATTGGTAGGTTCATTGGTTAGCATTACCATGCATTTAAAAAATTTTATTCACAGTAGTTTTCATGCTGCTTGTGTCACAGCAAACACTATGGTATTTTGACGGTCATTTTTTGCGTCTTATTAACGATTAGCATACATTTAAAAAATTAACAGTAGCATAAAAACTACTGGGAATAAAAATTTTTAAATGCATGGAAATGCTAACAATGGACCTACCAATAAGCTATAAAAATTTCAGAAAGATTTTAAGCTTGTGTTAGTGCAGAGTTTCTTAAAAACCGGTACTTTTTAGGATCTTTCAACTATATAAATTTTTCGGGTTAACGGAAAATTTTTTAATCGACACCACGTAAAATGTATTTAAACCAGAGAGGGCCAAGGCCGAATCCGAGTTGGCATGTTATCTCCATGACATCGTAGACGTGAAAGGAATGTCAGAATTCTGCAAGAACCTCTTCATAAAATTCAACACAGCGGTTCCATCATCAGCGCACTGTGAACGCCTGTTCAGTGCAGCAAGCCTAGTCATCACTAACAGACAAGGAAGAATCATTGACACCAATTTTGAAAAACAACTACTTTTAAAGTTTAATAGGCATTTAAAGTAAATTTAGTTGTAGTAATGAATGTAAAATGTAATGTAAATGTGACGATGTTTAATTAATATTTAATTAAAACACAATTAGTAACCAAAATGTGTCATTATTTCATTACATATGAAATCCTTTAAAACAACTGTCCAACAAACAGCTATCTTCTTCGTATGTCGAAAACTTTATTTTCTAACGGTTAGTTTTTTAACTAGGCCTAAGAACTAATAACTTATATCAGTTACTTTTTAAAATAACTAACTAGTAACTTCTATCAGTTACTTTTTATGGGACTATCTTCTAACTTCTAACTAGTTAGAAATTTTGACTAACTTTCCCAACCATGCAGACTTCACACGAAGAAAGGAACAACTGGACATACCTCATCACAGGCTGGCCATTACAGGTAGGCTCTAATTCTTTCAAATTAAACTTTGTGAAATTTTATAATAAACTGCCTATTTATAATTGGTTCCGTAGCAAATCCAATTTATACCACATTAAAGAGTAATTCTTAGGTAAAGGGGAAATAAATATGTCTTGTATGAATCCAATGGGACAAATTGAAATTCGCTTAGTCTGCAAGTTTGCTGCGGCAAGGGTATTTATTAAAAACTGCTCAAAGTTTTTCTTATTTTCATCAACATAATTTAGGTTTTCATGAATATACTAGTGATGGTACCGAGCTAGAACCGGTACCGGATCGGATCCAAAAGATTCCGGATCTTGGGCTGGATCCGGTTTTGATGGATCCGTTTTTTTCAAATTTTATCCCGATGTTTTTCCTAACACAAAGCTGTCTGTATCACTGTACAACCCCATTTGTTTACTAAACACAAAGCTGTCTGTATCACTGTACAACCCCGATTTGTTTACTAACATAAAGCTGTCTGTATCACTGTACAAACCCGATTTTTTTACCAGCACAAAGCAGTCTGTATCACTGTACAACCCCGATTTGTTAACTAACACAAAGCAGTCCGTATCACTGTACAACCCCGATTTTTTTACCAACACAAAGCTGTCTGTATCACAATGAAACCCCGATTTTTTTACCAACACAAAGCAGTCTGTATCACTGTAAGACCCCGATTTTTTTTACTAAAACAAAGCTGTCTGTATCACTGTACTTTGTACAACCCCGATGTTTTTACTAACACAAAGCTATCTGTATCACTGTACAACCCCGATTTTTTTAACACAAAGCTATCTGTGTCACTGTACAACCCCGGTTTTTCCCGATTTTCTTACTAACAAAAAGCTCTCTGTATCCATGTACAAGACCGTTCTTTTCCCCGAGTGTTTGTCTCTTTATGCAAACAACTTATATGACAAGGCCATGTCTCAGTGTTTGCCTCTTGATACAAATAACTTGTACGGCAAAGCCATGTCTCAGTGTTTGCCACTTGATGCAAATAACTTATATAGCAAGGCCATGTCTCAGTGTTTGTCTTTTGATGCAAATAACTTATATGGCAAGGCCATGACTCAGTGTTTGTCTCATGATGCAAATAACTTATATGGTAAGGCCATGTCTCAGTGTTTGTCTCTTGATGCAAATAATTATATGGCAAGGCCATGTCTCATAGTTTGCCTCTTGATGCAAATAACTTATATAGCGAGGCTATGTCTCAGTGTTTGCCTCTTCATGCAAATAACTTAAGTGGCAAGGCCATGTCTCAGTGTTTGTCTCTTGATGCAAATAACTTATATGGCAAGGCCATGTCTCATTGTTTGCCTCCTGCTGCAAATAACTTATATAGCGAGGCTATGTCTCGGTATTTGTCTCTTGATGCAAATAACTTATATGGGAAGGCCATGTTCCAGTGTTTGTCTCATGATGCAAACAACCTATATGGCAAGGCCATGTTCCAGTGTTTGTCTCTTGTTGCAAATAACGTATATGTCAAGGCAATGACTCAGTGTTTGTTTTTTGATGCAAATAACTTAAATGGCAAGGCCATGACTCAGTAATTGTTTTTTGATGCAAATAACTTATATGGCAAGGCCATGTCTCAGTGTTTGTCTCTTGATGCAAACAACTTATATGGCAAGGCTATGTCTCAGTGTTTGTCTTTTGATGCAAATAGCTTATATGGCAAGGCCATGACTCAGTGTTAGTCTCTTGATGCAAACAACTTATATGGCAAGGCCATGTTCCAGTGTTTGTCTCATTATGCAAATAACTTATATGGCAAGGCCATGGCTCAGTGTTTGTCTTTTGATGCAAATAACTTATATGGCAAGGCCATGTCTCAGTGTTTGTCTTTTGATGCAAATAGCTTATATGGCAAGGCCATGACTCAGTGTTAGTCTCTTGATGCAAATAACTTATATGGCAAGGCCATGTTCCAGTGTTTGTCTCATTATGCAAATAACTTATATGGCAAGGCCATGGCTCAGTGTTTGTCTCTTGATGCAAATAATTATATGGCAAGGCCATGTCTCATTGTTTGCCTCTTGATGCAAATAACTCATATGGCAAGGCCATGTCTCAGTGTTTGCCTCTTGATGCAAATAACTTATATGGCGAGGCCATGTCTCAGTGTTTGCCCTTGTTGCAAAAACCCTATATGGTAAGACCATGACTCAGTGTTTGTCTTTTGATGCAAATAACTTATGGCCAGGTCATGTCTTAGTGTTTGTCTCTTTGTGCAAGTGCCTTATATGGCAAGGCCATGCCTCAGGGTTCGTCTCTTGATGCAAATGACATATATGGAAAGGCCATGTCTCAGTGTTTGTCTCTTGATGCAAATAACTTATATGGCAAGGCCATGTTTCAGTGTTTGTCTCTTGATACAAATAAATTAAATATATGGTAATGGCATGTATCTTTTCGAACTGAATCCGACCCGTTTTTTCGGATATGTGCTCACCTCTATTTTTTAGTTTTGTACTTGGATGATAAGCTAACGGCCTAGAATCTTGTCTAGAAAATATCCCGTTAGTATTTTAATCTCACCAACAACCCACCTTCTTTGTTCTTTGTTCGTTTCTTTGTTTTTGTTAGTTTTTTGATCTGCTTCATGATAAAAAATAATAAAAGTTTGATTTAAATTGGCTTTCTGTTAATTACGTTTTTTTAACCCGCCCTTATGACAGCGTGTATCTGTCTCTTGACAGTTTTTCAAGATCCGGATCCAGTACCGACATTTTCTTGGATCCGGCAATCACTAGAATATACAGACTGGGAAAAATTAATATGGTCAGATTTTTGAATGTTTTAAAGTGAATATGAGGACAAGGTAGAAGACCTCCTCAAGGTCCCAAGTTCAGATGGAAAGATCAAGTTTGAAGAGACCTGAGAAGAATGGGAAGAAGAAAGGAGGAAGCAATGGATCAAGAAATCTGGAGGCAGTGTATTGGCGAGGCGAAGTACTCCTTGGGTACTAAGAGCCACGGCAGTAAGTAAGTAAGTAATTGAATATGAATCAAAATATTAAATTAACAGAAGCAAAAGATTACTAACAAAAATAATATACCTGGATAAGTGAATTCGCTTCTCAGTGTACTGTCCTTTACCATGTTCCGGATGTTCACAAGGTACATTGACAACTACCTCAACACCTTCGCCTGACTCTGATTGTTCATGACTGTGGCGAGCAATCATATACAGCTGACCAATTTGGTACTGTGAAAGAAAATAAATACTTTATAAATAAATTTGAATGTAGGTGACATTCCATTGATTAGGCTAAATGAAATTATATTTATTCATCGATCTAGACTTTTAAGGCCTACAAATAAATGTGTTCGACCAGCAGTTCTCAACCAGGGGGGCACACCCGACTGGAGGGGTGAGAGCGCTTCTAAGTTAGATAAATATGAAATAAAAATAAGGCAAAATAAATACAATTAATTTTGGGATTGTAGCCATGTAAACACTTTTAATCCAACCCCGTTACCTTATCGAAAATCGAATATCTTCTTATGTATTAATAGTCAAGCATATTTCTTTAAAACCTTTTTTCTCAGCTCGTGTGCATCGCAGGGAAAATCTACGAATACTGTTAGAAAGATATTTTCCTGTAGGTGTGCAGAATCCCTTTCAAAATTAAAATAGGTTCAAAAATAAGCACAAAAAATGAATTTGAAATTTAAAAAAATTAACATGGGCTTTATGGGCTGCTATGCTGGTGACGGAAAAATTCCGATCACATGTTTTATTTACAGTGTGGGGTGAAAATAGAGTAGTCTGTACAGTGCAATTGGAATTTTTAGCTAGAAGCGGTTTTTGTAGTGGAAAAAAACTGTTTTGGTGTTCATCCTTGAAGATGAACCTTTTTAGTGTGTACACTAAAAAAACAGGCCGTAATGCTCGTCAACCATGACGTCACGATAGAAGACGGCAATGACGTATTTAAGGTTATATTTTTTTTCCATGAAAAGATTAAAACAAGCAGCTGATCACAAACGGCAAAAATACGTCATTGCCGTCTTCTATCGTGACGTCATGCTAGACTAATTCCAAATCAACTAATGAATAAATTGATATTTAATTATTGTCTTCAAATTAAGTGATGGTTGCTTTGAAAATAATTAAATTAACATGAGCAAATATTAAAATAATGGATCTTCTTCCAAAATTAATGTAGATCATTAGATAAGTGTGTACACTAAAAAAACAGGCCGTAATGCTCGTCAACCATGACGTCACGATAGAAGACGGCAATGACGTATTTAAGGTTATATTTTTTTTCCATGAAAAGATTAAAACAAGCAGCTGATCACAAACGGCAAAAATACGTCATTGCCGTCTTCTATCGTGACGTCATGCTAGACTAATTCCAAATCAACTAATGAATAAATTGATATTTAATTATTGTCTTCAAATTAAGTGATGGTTGCTTTGAAAATAATTAAATTAACATGAGCAAATATTAAAATAATGGATCTTCTTCCAAAATTAATGTAGATCATTAGATTAAGAGAATAATGTAGTTGCTGTGACTGGGATACACATGATAAACGGTACTTTCCTGTTAAAGGGAACATTCATTATTATCGATGATTTTTTTCTCAATATATCGATATTTTTGTTTTCCGATTGTCACAAGTTGACAACTGATCTTGTTTAGGCTAAAATAGTCTATTATATGGATTAAGAAATGAAACTGTTCTAAGCTAACCTAACGTAACAACCAAACTTGCTGTACCAATTAAAAATTCCGTTTGATAACAGAGTAGGCAAGTTAAGCACGGAATTTTTTACAAGTTACACAGCAAGTTTGGTTAGTTATGTTAGGTTATTTTTTTATAACAGTTTCATTTCCTTATTGTTTGTTGATACTGAACAATATTTATCGTAGTTGTCAGCTGATATGTTTCAATTTGTTAAAATCGATATATCGAGAAAAAATCATCGATAATAATGAATGTTCCCTTTAACAGGAAAGTACCTGATAAACTGTTGGGACATAACGATGATTTACGTTTCGTTTACAGATACAGTAGAACCCCTCATATCCGGCCTTGGTTTTACCGGTCCTCTGTTTATCCGGCCCCTTCCAGGAAGCCAAAATCTAAATTTTTTCTCGCAGCTTACAGACGTTTAGATGCAAGCACTAGTCTTTGTGACGGCTCAAGTCATAAAATAAATCGTTCTCATTATTTATCTGTTTGTTTATACATTTATTTGCTGAGTCACTATACTCAGTTGAGCTAGTAGGCCTCTGATCCTACCCAGATCAGTTGATTGATTATTTCCAAAGTGGGGTTATTACAGTACAATACGAGTACATTAATTTTTGTACTTCACAAAATGGTTAAGAATGTTGAGTAGAAATCCATGTAGGCCTACCATTCAAGTCCTAATGATCTTAAAGTACAATTTATTGTCATTTTTACCTCCATTTAATAGGTTTTGTTACCTGGAATCGTATTTGTACATTCATTACTTAATGACTTTAACCTACAAATATTTTTTTTTCCTTTTTACAAACATGATTATTTTTCTAAAAATGATCCCAGAACAGAATTAAATGATACTTTTGATTGCATATTGATTACCTATTATTATTAGGTATGAATTGTCATTTTCATAGTAGGTTGGTTTATCTGGCCAAATCGCTATCCGGTCAGGGGCTTGGTCCCGTCGTGGCCGGATATGAGGGGTTCTACTGTATCTTAAGACCAAGACCCACCTTTTAAGGGTTTCAAGTTAGGGGTCAGAATTATGTACTCTCGAGATGACAAAATAAACCTTTATAGACTAACGTTTTGAGTTCTGACCCATTTAAATTATAATTAACAGCTAAATTGTATTGCTAATAATTCACTTACTAAGCAAATGCTTAGTTTTGTTTGTGATCTGATAAGTTTACCACGTACCAAACAGGAAAACATTATACGATAGGCGAAGGAAGCAAGATTCGAGTTTGGTTTATAAAATGCAGTAGCCTAAATACTGAATGTTTTATAATAAATCAGACAATGACATATACTAAATTAATAATTAATTTAATATTAAATGAACATTCTTTCACAACATTATCCCTATAATTGACAACATGCCAGTTTGTTTGTTTTGATTTAACCTCAAAAATTGACATGTGGACATTGAACATATGATCACACTCACTACAGCCAAAAAGGTTCATCCTCAAAGATATTCCAACATACCTCAACCGCTTCTAGCTAAAAACATCCAACTGTATGCCTACATATTTTTGGTCGAGTTTTCGACCACTGGACAACCTCCTAGTAAATAATTAATCTATATAATTAATACGCTACATGAAACTTTGTCGGTTGAACTCCTCCGTCATTTCTTAACCGATTTTATCCATTGACGTCTCATTGGAAAGAGCGTGTCGCATAGATTTGCAACCTGGCCTTACATTTTTGAAAAAGTCTCTTGGGCTCTGCCCCAGTTTCTTTGAAAGTGCCCATGTTATCCTTATGAAGAACACAATTGTTTACATTTTGATCAGCTGTATAATTTAATTGCTGTTACCTATTTATTTTTCAATTCAATGAAACGCATTGAGTATAATTATTTACTATTTGAGTTTTTGTAAACATAACCCCCAAGACGGATCGTGTTAGTATGGTTGTATCTTAAATTTGTGTATTTATCGTTGTTTTGTGTCGCTATGACGGATCGTGTTAGCATAATTGTAACTTAAATTTGTGCATTTATCGTTGTTGTGTGTAGCTATAATTTGTTTATTTGTTTTTTCCTTTTCTTTTAAATGCCTCCGACGCGGCGACAACGAAACATAGACAGGATGCGTAATCGTGATAACGAGCGCAGCTACAGAACAGTGGCGCTTAATAGGCTTAACACATCACAATCAGCACCTGACCCTGGACAATCTCAACTATTAGGTTACAAATGCGCCCTAACACTACCCCAAAACGACATTTCGTTCTCAATTGGCCCTCTATCAATGACCTGTGTTGCCTGTACAGCGAGCCATTTTGAGAAGGAGAAAACCGGCCGGAATGCTTTAGGATTATCAATAAAGAAGATAAACATGGTCTGGGTTACACACTGGTAATATTTGAGTTGCCTTTTTTAAACTCATTGAAATAACTCCTGTAATACTTTGCAATTGCTCGAATTCGAGCAACATGTACACTAGTTAGGACTAAATAGAGGGTTTGGAATGCATTGATTAAATATATATGAGCTTAATTTGGGTGTAGGGATGGGAGCCTGAGAAAAATTCAAGATTCTATGTGGCGTAGAGCAAACAGTTGAGAACCCTTGCAACAAATGTCGAAATAAATAGGTCTATGGGCAAGTTGGTAAAATATGTATATAAAACATGTAAAAATATGTATATAAAACATAAAAATATGTAATAATGTAAAAATATGTAGCCTATATAAAACATTAACATATCAAATGTGTAATAATGTAAAAATATGTAATAAAACATGGCAGAACTGTCATTTATGACTCCACTAATAAGATTTACTGTAAAATTGACTTTTACATATTAATCATAATAATATTTACAATTTGACAGTAACCGATAGGTCTTGAATCAAAAACAAATGTTATGATACGACAGTCGACGGAGCAAGTTAAGTTAGACATTGATTGGTAGGATTGAAAATACTGACAGGTTTTTGTTTTATAATTTAAGTAAGATATAGTAAGGTATAAAATCAAAGTTTAGCTCAATACGTTGCTCCAAATGACCTGAGATGAGAGGTTATTTTTTTAAGAGGGTAACTTACAATTCTGCAGAGATCCTATGGTATACTATCGGATGAAAATTCAAATCAATATAAATATTCATTAAAATATTTCATTTGATGTAAATATTGATTTTTTCTTATAGTTATGAGTGTCTGTTCAAGATTAGGGCCACCTGCCACTCTATGAGTGTACTGCCGCTGTCCTGGGATAGATTACTGTAGCTTAATTTAGATCAGTTTAATTCATCATAATAACAAACAAGCATTTACAAAATTTGACCTTTTTTAAACTCATGTTTTTTTGTTTTTTTTTTATTAACAGTGTTAGAATTACTCTATGTATACTCCCTACAGCTTGCTTTTGAAGATAAAACCATATGTTTTATCAATTGTTATGATCTATTTATATTACTTGTTTTCTTTTCATCAGTTTTGTTCTCAACCATGTTAATAAACCATCTATTGTTTTTCATCTCTTTT